AACATAAAAGAATTTTGTTATAGAGTTGCCTTACTATTCTGAATGGGTAATTGGATACCTTTAGTACTTTCGTTTAAGGTAAGGTAAACCAATTATTTAAAAAACTATGACATCATTTTTAATTATACAACAACATTCAATTAAATAAAACTAATTGTAATATGCAATTTACATAAATTGAAATGTTACCTTATTAAATTTATCAAAACGCGAGCGATATGGGAATGTTAATCAAATGTTTATACTGCGAGACTTGTCGGTTGGAAATTATTATTTGTACAATAATGTACTCTAAAATAATAAGTATAAGAATTTTAATGGAATGATGATAACGAATGGATGAATAAAAATATTACTAACATATCACAAAACAAACAATCAAATAATTCATGAATTATCTCTTTCAATACCATGAACTCATATAAATAGCGACATATTTTTCACAAGTCATGTCAGTCAACTGGCGAATTATCTCTATAGTGTGGGAAGTACCGATACATATTTTAAGCATAGGAGGTATATATTTAGGGTTGCCTCTCTAAGTTTATTTTAGTTTTATATAAGAAATATTTGCAGTGCCTACATAAATAATGCTGACATAATAAATGTACCTCTATATTTTTTTAAATAACAGGAAGTTCAACTTTAATTTACCTAGATCTTCATCATCATTCATCAATTGGGCATTACATGTGACGTCCATAGCCCATGGTTTCGAATAATTACCTAACCTAACTAAATAGTAAATTGTGTATTTCAACAAATCATAATATTACCGTAACTTTACTTGGTTGTGCATTACTAATCACATCACGTTACCGCTTACAAGCAGCTTATTTGAAATTTGAAATAGTAGAAAATATATACTAATATAAGTTTTTCAAACGAATTAGTCTTTATTAACTGAAGCTTATAACGGCGATAGCCCTGGGTGGCGTCCATTTGACGTCATAACCGCAAATACCTATACGGTGCATATTACTATGTCAGAAACATACTGAAAACTACAGCACGAAGTTATACAGTCATACTATATTTTTGTTACACAAAATTGCAACATTTGTTTATTATGTTCATGTTGATTTCTAGGGGGCCAAAATGAAATTGGGTGTCGTAGAACGTATATTTAATGTCTTTTATTTTTTGTGTTTTGTATGTATGTCTCCACTAGTAGATGTCTCAAACGTGCCAGGTTAACAAATTTTTCTACATCCATTAAAAATATATAGATATTGAATTTATTTATGACATATTTATCACAGTGCAAGCTTTGCATTGTTTGTAACTAAATAATTCTATGTGATATAAAATGGGTTATTTATTTTTTGTAATCTTGAAAAATCATTTTTATCTATATAGAATAGTTTACAGAGTTATTCTGTCACACGGAATATTACTATGTGCGGTACTGTTTATTGAATATCACGAATTCTCAATACGTGATGCGAGTAAAAACGCAATGAAAGTAAAAACAAATTTAATTAGGTACACTGTTTATCGTTAGGAATTTTACAAATACGACATGATTACAAATGATGTCACGTAACAGATATATTTATAGAGAGGTAATGTTGTGATATTCTCTCTATTCGCTTAATATCAAGAGAAATTTTGCATCTACATCTGATATTTTCTTATATAGTTTTATAAATATAAGAACCATTTAATAGTCAAATAGTAAAGGCAATAGATAACTAAAGAACTGATAAACACATTTATAAGGTTCGATTATTCGTAATACATTTTCTAAACCGAAACACCTACCATTATTAGATACTTTTGTAAACATTTGATGAAATTATGGACCTTTTTATCTATATTATTATTATAAAGAGAGACTAGATTATTTGTTTATTTCTTTGTATTGTATATAAAATAAAAAATACTTGACACATTTTAAATATCTTTTATCTACAGAAAACTACATTATCAGAAAGTGACATTTGTTGGGTTTTATTGGTAGACAACGCCGCGGAATTATTTTTTACAATTTAATATACTGCCCAATTAATAGAAATTTATAATAAACCCGTCGAGTCGTGAACAAGATCACCATGGACCACTGCATAGAATACTATGACATCCTTCAGACTTTGCCATTCTTTGACTAATAATCTTTATTTCGAAAAAGTACGCTAAGTAATTTCACTGCCTCATCTCACCTTTCAAAACCAAACGATTCCAACATTTCCAACTCAGTATGCTAGTATGCAAACAAGCTGCTTGACGGCAGATATAATAGATGAGACAGAATGTTCAATACATAATCGTTTAGAGTCGGTTACCTTCGACTACAGCGAAAGGTCAAAGATATGTTCTACAAAGTTGAATGCTTAATATACCAATTATATTGTACTACTTTTTGTGGTCGAAGTCATAAATATTAAATGAAAAGATTGCTGTAAAATACAATTAAAAACTTGTCGTTATGTACATTTTCATTATAATAAAAGTTTACTATACATTCATGAGAATAAATTAAGAATTATTTATAGAAAACCGTCGTAATACATATTAAAAGTAATCTCAATCCATTAAATTAAATAATATTATGCAAAATCTTCTTAAATTTTAATAGTAATCCCAATCCAACATTAAGTATTTATTATTAAACAATATTAAGTATGTAACTGATTGCTATTTTCTTCAGTACACTGACGAAAAATTAACACTTTTTTATGGAAAGCAGTAAATCCGACACTAATGAATATATAGTATAGAAAAATTATTACTGTTTGTATTTATTTTAATAGATAGATACATTTTTAGCCTGAGTCATCGTTAGAGACCGAAAATGATTCAAGACTCCAAGTTTTTTTTAGTTATCAGTATCACGTGTTACATATTATTTCCTTTGTAACTAGTAATTTCCTATCACCCCTATACACCCCATGGATGCCATAAGTGTCCACTAAAACTAAAAAAAACATACAGACTTATATTGATCTAGATGAAATCTACAAATAAGACATCAAACCGCCTGGCCTTGATATAGTTATATAGTAGACAAAATAAAAAAAAAAAATAAAGGCCAAGGCTGAAAACTACTGCCACTTAGGCCAGTGAGGCCATGTAGTTTTCAGTTAAAAATAAAATCTATGTCTACAAATATAAGAGTTTCACCTACAAACAGTTAAATATTACATATCACAGGTACATATTATAGTTATGAATTAATTAAAAATAGCTATGTGTTTAATATAAATGTGGTCGAATTGAAGGTATGCCAGTGAAAAGTAGAACTGCAGTAAGTTCTTAGATAAAGCTGCACTACCAGGCTGCTCCGAGATTTGGCTGGGCAGGGTAGAAACAAGCGATGAAGGTGAGTATTGACGTACGTCGTTAAACCTACACCCGTGTCACGAGTCCCGGGAACTGCTAGGAGTTTGCCACACGATGGAGCCGGTTCCCGCGCGTTGAATAAGATACTAAGAAGTTCGTCTCGTACTAATTTATTAATTATCAAATTCGATAAAAAAAATGCGGTAAGATAATAGTAGGTCAATAAATGTAGCACAACACGGCAGCAAATATGAGTTACCTACTAAGTAGCAGTAAATACATTGTTAGCAACTATTAGTATGTATCTTTACCTTTAATAAAAACATAACAGATCCCTACCCGTACACGAAAGATATATGTGAAATTTATCTGTTTATAGATTTATCGGTACGGATCGATATATAGATCGATCGATCGATTCGAATTTTAGTAGACGTTGCCATATGTGAAACATAATGAGATTCACTAATAATGAGAAAATAAGTTTTTTCAAACAGATTTTTTACCTAATTTTAGGTTTCTCACAGAGGTAGTGCATAAAACGGAGCTAGAAATAGTTAAGGATATTTTTTCTTTGATTAACTTGGCAACACTGATTCAGTCAGTCTGCCGCACAACGCAAATAGTGCATTCAGTATTCGTAAAAGTACCTACTTATTACAGTATCTATTTGCAGTAACACTAAAAATAGGTCTAAATATTAACTGCATTTTCCTTCTGTATGACTTATCTAGTCGGATAGAGCATTATTCAGCACATTATAAATTTTATGAATTTGCTTAGTTATTAAATCATAGGCTTTGGTCTCTAGTTTATTTTATAAATAATAATAATCCATAAGAAATATAGATATTGTTTGAGTCTGCTGTAAGCGGCAGGCAAGCGGCGAAACACGTGACTAATGATTTTATTTGATAAATCTTTATTACAAATAAATTGTAACGATAGTTTGAGTTTGATCCTGTTTAACCTCCATTAGGTAAATAAGTAGGTACCTATTTACACTCATTTTTATAATTACAAATTAATTGTATTGGGGGTTGAGCAATCCTGATGTATTAATAGGTACGTAATAAGTTACTATGTTTTATTAGTCTATTTTTGTTTCAAGCTAGTATTGAAAGTTATTGGAAGCCAGACATGACTGTGTAGCTAAGTATGTAGGTAGGTGAACTAAAAAACTCAGTAGGTACTCCTACCTACGTATACAAGTGTTGCGCTACGCGACAACCATTATGCCAATACGATAGGACGGCCATTTTCAGATACATAAAACTTACGTACCTGTCTAATATACATAAATATTACATGTTTATACACTTTCAATGTTCATACAGTATACAGTAAATGTACTTTCTACGTGTCGAGAGCGTTCCATTTTTAGTCAAGTGCGCGCGACGGGCGTTTCGTTGCCAAGCGGAATGTGTGGAGGCAATGACGACCTTCAGAGGCCGTCATCATCAATGGAACAGAAAGCAGTACCTGCAGATCAATGTTCGCAAACCATCAACACAGCGACGCGATTTTTGCTGCATAATTTTCAAGGGCATTGTAAACTTCTATAGCACAACGCTCGTCACGTATGGAAAACTCGAGGGGCCCCTGCGTTTGTTTCTTAAAGATTCATGAATGAAAGTCACACTGACTAACAATGGAATAGCACTCGTAATACACTCTATTTAATAAAAAATATAACAAAAATAAAAGAAAATACTTACGAACTCGTCAGCCGCGATACGTGTTTAATAATCACATACATGACGTCATTTGACGCAACACAAACCCGAAAATATTGAGTAAAATGTATAGTAACTGTGTCGAAAACAACACCAACGCGAAATAAACACTTTACTTTATAAAATACAAAGTAAATCTTATGTTAATACAGGCGATTTAGGGCATTTTACAATATTTATTTGTTGTCACTGAGTTTAGTTTTGACAAGATGGTCGCGCACCGACTGTTTTTGCTTTGCTTGTCAGCTGATACGAGGTCTGCTATATTTCAAACGCAACAGTGAAATCTTTTTACTCTCTCTAACTTACCGGGAAACCGTTAGTACAAGAGCGAGATAGGTAACATGACTCTTGTTTTTGAGGATTTCAAACACTATAAACGTCATTTTCTTTTTGCAATAATACGAACGAAAACTCGCGAATATTTTTTTTATTTCCAGTCGATGAATTGAAAATTTTTGCAACGTGAATAGTAAGATGTTTTTATTTCACAATATCATGTAATCGTTTATCAATTAGCTGTAATGGGTTGTGACATATTTTGTTGTTTACTGTACAGGTGACTCCATCTAGCAGAATATTGTAGTTTTAATATACATTTGCTTTTCTGCGGCTTCTGAAATTACAATGATGCTTTTTCACTCAAGAATAAGGACCTAAAATATCAATATCCAGTGTACTACAATTAGATAGGTATTTCTTAATTCCTGTAAAAGTTATCCATACTAAAAGCACATATAAATGAAACATTACAATTTGTGATCATACCTGTTCATCATTTCCAAGTGTAAACATAGATGGCAGCAGTTGTACCAAAATCGGTAATTGGTAGTAACTCGGTTATTTGATAGAAACTATTATGTATGTATGAGTGTCCTGCATAGTCCAGTAGTTATTGTACATATATATATATTGCTAGCTATCATTAATCAATTTATATTATACAGTGAGCAGGAATGTCAACGTTAACAACAGACTGTGAGGAAAATTGGAGATTTTTTATTCGTCTGTATTGTTGTGTGCGAAATTGTTGCTTAAATTGAATATACCTTATTAATCCCGTAATAATGGTCACTATTGCTTCTTAGATTGAATCACATGCAATAATTTTTATTATTCATAAAAATCACTTGTGTAGCTAAATAACTGTCATTAAAAGTAGGTACTGTACTGATCTATTTTTAATTTAACTATTTTTTAAAGATTTACCCATACTAGTTCCAAATTAATTTTATTCAATCATTACTAATTTATATTTTATGTTTTACTTGGTTCTATTTTATAGAACTGCCTATCACTGTAATAGTGAGACAGGACTTGCATTCTGGACTCGCGTAAATAAAAACATGGTTAATTAATCAATTAAAAATTTAAATCTCACCTTACAATAGTTGTATTTTCGGTCCCTTTAAAATTTAAATATTGTTGTATTCATTAGTTAGTGTTACCAATGTACTGTGTCTTTGTATGAGGGAGCACCCGCCTGCGCTAACGGATTACGTTGGATAAGATGAGCATTGTTAGTAATGTTGAATTTATCACGATGGTTTCCAGGGGGAACCGCGTGGATAGCCCCATTGCTAGCAATGTACCAATGTACTGTGTCAGGTTGACATCCACGTGGTTCACACTAGAAATTATTAACCTGTACTGGTGCCCTGCAAGCGTATATCGTTAGCGGAGATATGTACACTTGTACAGTACACCAATCCTATTTATATTAAAAAAAAAATTGTGTAGTTTCAACTTATGTAACGTACCTATACAATGTAAACTTTGTTGGAAATAAAATATACTTATTCTTATTAATGTATAATTATATAAAAAAAGTATCAAAGTATTTCTTTATATATGTTGTTTAGTATCCATATTATAAGTTCTGCTAAGTTTGGATTGGAGTTATGGCGCTGTGTGTTACTGGTATATTCGAAGTTTATTTATATATCTATAATTATCTATAAATATACTTGATCACTGTTGTTCGTTTATACGTGCAAACTTTTAGTATGCGTAGGAAATCCTTAACTAATTCTATGAATTAGGCATCAACTCCGTAAAGTTTAGCTAAAGATCAAAGTTTCCACGACAAAGTTATCCAATCAGAGAGGCGATAACTTGCTTCGTGGTCTTTTGGTATCTACTGTAGTCTGCTCTATAGACCTATACCTATACTTCTGTAATATATACCTAAAGTTGTTTATTGTATTTAATGTTGTTTATATAATAGAAAAAATTACAATTCGAACGTTACTATATTTGTCACAACAAAATTTTATTTTGGCATAGTTTATTGAATGTCTTACAATCAGGTATTTGACCTTTCATTTACAGAAAAAAAAACTTATCTGAAAACGATGATAATTATATTATCTTAAATATTTTGAGGATAAATATATGCGAGAATGATTTGTTTATAAACGTGATTTTTGTTGTACATATGTGGTGTTGATCGTAGAAAACTTATTGTTTTCTTTGTCTGATGTATTCGATATATTCTTCTATTTCTTGAGAAAAACTATTTAGTTTCATGTGTACTGTCACCACATCACTTAAGTATATAGTAGGTAAGATAACATCGGAAGACGAAAGAAGACAACTATCTAAGGAGGAATAAAATTAAGAGTTTTCGTATTTACTGTACCTAATTCTAAACATGAACTTACCTAACTAAATTTACTATATAGATAAGTTTAATTGAATTTCCAAATTCATCGAGTGACCTTCGTTTAGTTGGTTCGTGTAAGTCTCGACTGTCACTTGTAATGTGGATTTACAGACAAACTCCACAGTTTAAATTTTGTAGCTATATTATTTTCAGACACTATTATAGATATCATATTTCTTTCTGCCTATCCTGTAAGTGATCTGGTGTGAAGTTAAACTGATAGACAGATCAACGTTGCAGAATCCCAGGAAAATTATACATCATTTTCTATTTGTTTCTGCAAAACATTATAAAAATAAAAGAAAATGTTCATTACGTTCCATTTATTTTAACATCAAGTCGTACAACATTTCATTCATCTAACATTTATACAATTAACATTAATATGTACATTTTTAATTACTGCTTAATATTTATAAAAGACGCATAGCCATAATTATCTTTGGCATCATATTGTACAGGAGTAATAGAGTTACAAGTGTTGTTTGATAGATACTAATTACAAATAGTGTACCTACATTGAAAATATATTCTGGCCGATGATGTGCCACGGTTTGACGGCAACTTATATATCTAACCACCAAAACTTGTGTAAACCGAACATATTACCGATGACGAATTCTCATCATCTACTAGAGAGTTTTACATTTTTCCATATTTTAAACTACGAGTAGTAGAACATTCAGAAATATACAAAAATAATTATGCTTTTTTTAACATTTCATTGAATTTTATACATTTTCGCTAACATTTATAGTATTTTAGAAAATACAATTTTTGAGCACAGTAAATAAAATACATAATTAATGAATTAATATTTTTGTTTTCAGTCAAAATCCTTATAGGTGACCTAAACAATTATAATCCTCCTCGTTACATATTCGAAATTACAAATTATGGTATTGGACTACCTGTCCAATGTAGACCAGCAGTCAAAATTTTTGTCTATCACTAATATATACAGATTAGACAAATTCAGACATTTAATAACCATACTTCTACAAAGCTGTGTTCAGTAGTGTATGGTTACTCTTGTGTTTTGGGTTAGTTTATTATAGTCCTATCCTATCTACTAGATATGCGATAGAGCTATAGCTAGCTGGGTAGATTGTATATTGATTATATGATGTTTTTTAAGTTTTTTTCAATGATGTGAATTGTATCTATCCAAATTGGGTTTATTTGATTCTGACATCTAAATAGTATTAGACTATGATTCTGACGTTAGACCACAATCTACGTCATATCGTATATAAAGGTATATATAATAGTTTGTTTTAATATGCGTTTTTAATTATATAATTTGAACATATTTGTTGGTTTAGGCTTCAATCGATCAATTTATTTAATGAGTAAAACTAATATTTACATGGTTTGGTGGGTGCCTAAGTTTTGGGATATTCTAAGTAAAAAATAATTAAAAATTTTCATATGGCACTAATTCATATGCAAAATCACAGTTAATATTTATACTACTTATATTAATATATTATCTATTAAGAGACAGTCAAGAATATTTCTAATACAGACTACTATTTATACAATAATTAATATATAGGTACTTAGTGAATAAAGTAAATTTTATTAAATGTAACTATATATAATTCATAATATTATAATGTACATAATTGCTTTACATGGATATTATTCTTTTAGATAATAATACTGCTCCACAAACAATTATTTTCTGTAATTAAATTTTCTCGAAATCGTGATGAATGTGAGTAAGGCTAAAAGCGTATTTATATCTACATATTTAAAGAAACCTATAAACTAATTATCACATTGCAATAAAATATTACTTAAGCCTCTTGTTACGAGAAAATTTAATTTAGATTTAAGGAATTTTATTTTTTAATGTTTTAGCATTTGTAGGGCAGAATAGATCACAACCATTGGGAACAATTCTAAAACAAAATTATGCATACATTAAACATAATTATATATATATTAATTTATTACGATATAATATCCTAATAAATGAATAAAATATAATAAGTCTTAGGAAACACTTTAGATTAGATATTCCAACTTGGCATCTGCATTTAGTTATAGTTCAGGATTATATTCTTAGGACACAGGATATCTACAATTTTTTTCATTGCTACACTTACTCTCCTCTTAATCAGAGTTAAAAAATGTTAAACAAAAGGGGGATATGGTCATGATATATAATAGAATAACAGTGCAATGACCCTATAATCTGATTAATGAACTTCATATTATGAGAGTGGGTAATACGAGTATTTGCTTGTTTTCATTCTTTCGCTTGACTGTATGCTAGATTATTATTACTATTAACAAACTATCGGTTTAGCCTCTCATAGAAATAGGTACTTATATATTTTTTAAATATAAATCTATATATTGTAATAATTGGAATATTAGAAATATGAGTATTATAAAGAAAAAAAAATTCTACAAGAAATAGATCCAGTACTTAGTTACATTAGGTATACGCTTTTTGGTTTAGCAAGACATAATTTTTTAAATTAGGTACTTGTTTTTTGTATGACTAAAAACTAAGAACATTGATTATATAACAGGTTTTATATTTGACTACTGAATTTGAGTCCATCTCATTTATATACACTTATTAGTAATTGATCAATATATATTCAATCTACAAAATTGGTGGGTTGATTAACTGTATACGACATAAAAGTCTATGGGCTAGGTGCCACAATTAAGTATCTTCCTGAACGCCTTCCTGAATTCTGGGTTGAAGATGGTGTAGATAACTGGATTCAGGAAGGAATTTATGTAGCCCAGCCATGTAGTCAATATGAAGGCAGTGACACCTGGCGAGTAGGACAGTTCAAATTTTGCACAGAGGGCGTCGAGGACGGAGCAACTGAAGAATGGTGCCCAACAGAATAGGAACACGCCTGTAAAAAGAAAAAATAAAAATGTATTATTGGCACTACATAAAAATACTGGTGACCATAGGTTTACAACTTCGTTCTAATTTTGAAATTAGATATTAACCAAACTATGTTCTACTGTCTGTAATTATAAAGATACCAAAAGGAAGTCGCATGGAGGTCGATCAGACATGGTACATTGCTAGCAATTGAATGACTAATAATTATAATTAATAATTTCCTCTCCCCAATCACATGTAATTTTATCATTGTTATATTACATATTTATTATTGTTGTTATTTAATTTATAAAGCGTTTCTTAATTCAGTTTAGGTTCTTACGATATTTTCGTCAAGTTAATTTATATACTCATAGGTCACAGTGACGCAACAATAAACGAATCATATCTACGTCGAAGATTTTTTGGAATCTGTTTAGGTGACCCTCATTACAACCTTTCAACGTTGCAAATCTTAATTTGCAATGTTGAAAGCCCTTTTTCAATTTTTACGGCTTTTCATTACCAAAAATCTTTTTAACAACTGTAGCTCAATATCAGAACTGAATACATTGATATTCTTTGACAAAAATCTGAACTGTTTTTCATTATCTGAAATCAAGTTATTTTTTCTGACGTTACATTTTACGTTATTGGCGTAAAGTTGTAAAAATTGAGCTCCTGTGACAAACTGAAGAGAGTGACTGAAGCTAACTTCAAGAGTAATTTATGTAGGTTAAATAATAGTAGCTAAATAAAATTTCTTATAGTATTTTTATTTAGCTACAATTATTTAAGCTACATTATTTATATTAAATTTCGAAAAGTATTTCACTTTAAGAATTTTTTTCGATTGCATTTTTTATCATTTTTCATAAATTATATTGTTACGTCTTTGCACACCCAATACAAATGTACATACCTAAGACTATAGCGAGTGTCTGAGTAGCTTTCTTCTCTTTTTTAGCAAATGATTTCGCTCGCAGTTTCCCGGCTCTGTTCGCTCGGAAAATGGTGAATCGAGCTGCAGAGGCTGCGCTCCGGAAACGTCTCCGAGGAGTTGATATCATTGAGCTACTGCTAAGTCGACTTAATTTCTTTCTGTGGACATAATTAAAGAATTATGACATATATATTTCAAAGTAACGACAAATTCACAGCCCAAGATTACTAAAAGTGAACATTTGTTCTCAATGACATAGTCGAGAAAAGAATCACAAAAATAATATTTTTTTGTGATTGTTATGACATATAAGCACAGATAACATAACATTACATAGCAAATACTCTCGTTGTATTTCGAAGAATTAAGGTATAAGTTTGCTTCAAGTCGACACAACTTGCTAGGTCAGAAATTTGTACAAAACTTTAAATATTATATCAATATTTCTTAAGGGTTGTTACAGAAGTTATTCTGTTTAATTAATTTAGTTACTTTAAGTGTAAACAAGAGTATTTAGTTATGGAATATAGTTTCAATACACAGTTGCAGTACTATGCCAGTCTACAAATACTGCACCAATGTCGATATTTTGTATAGTGGTATCACGTACGACTTCGGTGCACGGTACTAATGATCTCTATTATAACAGGTTAGAAATATGCATAAACTCAGTTGTAATATTAAGTATATATATACACATATCTATAACTGTTTATTACACCTTACATAAAATATTACTTGGTATATACAAAATTTGATGCATTGTTAGTGCAATCTTCTACATACGACCTTGAACATTGTTATCTGGATTAAGTCAGAAACGCTATAGTAAAAATCTGACATATTTATGCATTGCTACGTACTTAAAACGGTTCATTGTTACGTAGATATATAGTCAAGATTCCTTTTATTTCCAATTAAAAACGCTATGTCAATCTTGATAAGCGATTTTCATTGTGTCTCGGTAAGTTAACTAATAATGAATAAATAGTTGGGCCCATACATAGGTATTAGTTGATCTTATATATTGATATAACCTACAAGTCTTCTAACCATCTCCACCCGCCTGAATAAGGTGCCTTGAGACGACCAAGCCCAAGATTTGCTTCACTGATTTCACACCAATTGAATTGGAGTTCGGTCGATAGAGCATCAATCGTTTCTTTAGTTGAAGTTGCTCTCGAGGCTCAGATGAATTCATTGAGATAAGTAATGTAATGTGATAATAGAATCACTTTCGGTTGAAGTTTTTAAGCGCCTGGGTTAATTCTTGCGTCTTATTCGATTCTTTTACTCTTAATCTACTATAGAATTCTACTATTAGAGTGTTCATTACATTCATATAATGTAATGAACACTTTAATAGTAGAATTAAATTGAATTAAACAGTAGATATATTTTGATATGTATTATGTAATGGAAATCAAAATATACTGTTTGATAAACACAACTACCTTAGTATTTAGTGTGTATATGTATACGCACTAGATTCTTATGATGTATTTGCAACTGCAGCGACTGGTCAGGTCAGTGTATAAAGTTAAATAAACATACGTAATCAAGTTGAAACGGGTGCGCACAATCCTATCAAACTTTTCGATTGCTTCCTATAAATTAATCAATGCATTGTTTCGCAGCGTTTTACGTTTCAGTAACGAATGTGTTCAAGCGGAGAATTGTAATTACTCCATCGCAAGTTGCAAGAATAACTGTTACATCATTTCTCTCCTATTATAAAATAATGATAATATTTTTTTCTTTCTTATTGAGGGGTTTTGGCTATTGTCAGTTGCTAAGACCTATAACACTGGAACCTGTATAGATCAATTGTGCTCGCCGTTATTCATAGTTCTCTATCTAGATCCATGAGGCACAAGAATTAAAGGATATTCTTAGAAGCGATGGTTTCTCCTCAGGATAGACTATGTATACATAGATGTATACTTTCCAAAGGAAATTAGTAGTATTTATTATTTATTTTATTAATAAATTTATTATATTAGTAGTAGTATTTCGTTTATGCATGAGTACTACAACCACATAAGATGAGTAGTGGCGTTTCCTTTTCTCCTTGAAAAAATCTGCAGATTGATGTCAAGCTAAGGCCTAATTTCGCCATGTGTCGATTCAATTTGCAGTGTAACGGTAATAATATATTAAAAATTCACAATATGTTGTACAGCAATATCTGAGAAACATATAGGTATGACTCCCATTGAATGATATGATGTAAATTTACGATTAGATAAAAATCTTACTTTAATTCAGGTTTCTTTGGTGCTTCACTTTTCTCTTCGGTCTTATCTTCTTTCTTCTGCTCTTTTTGTGTAGGAGATGCAGGTGGGGTATGCTCCTTGATGTCGCCATCAATATGAGATGGGGCATAACCCGAGTCATTATTTGTGTTAGGATCCATCATTGGTATTGGTGATGCTAAATTGGCCATTATCCTGTTAAAATATTATTATAATATATACTTAGATAAGTTGAAGTAGACACCAAAATAATTCAATATATAATGGTATTAAAAGTCTTCAACATTCTGTTTATTTTATAGTATAATATCTACATGATGAGATGAAAATATTAGAAGAAAGTTCTTCTGTTAAAGATTTGTTTCTTAGTAAAATAGATTTTGACTATTGTAACTTACAGGCCAGTTTCTTCAACAACAGCTGCCAGCATGAAACGAGCAGATCTGGAGTTCACCAATTCTTCAGCATAAGCCCCCATCTCTGTTCTATCGGAGCTGAAAATAGAAAAGCTAAAAAGTACCTTAAGTTATTTTCAAATGGGGATAAAATATAATTAAGCAAGGAAACATCTTTTTATTCTTAACTTATGATTAATCATGATTACATCTTTCTATCAATCATTACGAAATGCGTCATCCTCTGAGAACGCTTGTCTATTAATAGATATTTATTAAGAAGTTTCAGAACCTTAATACTAAAGATGACATATATGTTTTGGCGAGAGGAGAGGAGCAAATCAGGTTATTTTGGCCCAGGAGGAATGGGGCGGTTCAGTATTATTGACGAGTTGCGGTTTTTTGAAAAATTAATGCATACATTATAATATAATAAGCTTTAACGGATTCAATACTCAGGAATAGACAGTTGGCCGCCCTAGACACCCCCCTTAATGGGGTCGCCCAAGCATATGATTGTTAGTTTAGGCACTTCGTACTAATATTATGAAGGTTTCCATAAAGATACCTAAATATTTGCTATTAAAATTTATGTATAACATTTCAAACACACACGTTCCATGCTCTGTATTATTTTATATTACAATACACGTGGAATTTAGTTTTTAGTTTTTATCGACGTTAAAAATATTTTACTCAAATCAACATACGACATATATTATATAACTGGAATAGTAAATAAGGAAAAGGGAACAGTCGGCTATATACTTAAAGAACGTCACAGACGACCACATCGTCGGGTCATGCCTGTAGTATCTTCTGCGTTGCCATTCCAGAGGACTGGGGTGGTAAGCCTGCCCTGTAATTTCACTGCCCTATCTCATCTTGCAACCAAAACGCTTAAAAAAAAACTACTTTTATATGATTGAGATATAAGTATACATGTAGACCACTTCATACAAAGTCTATCTTATTAATATAATAAACGCGATAGTTTGTAGAGTATGGATAGATTTTTTCTAGTCCGATGAAACTTTACTGCAATATAGCTTAACTTTTTTAATTCTATGAAATGAGGATGAAACTGCAGACACAGCTGGTATCTTTATATAGGAATAGGCACATTTTTTTATGTTTTAAAGGCTTATTATATATATCTCCAGTATTAAAAGCTAAATAAGTAAAAGATAAACCCAGTTACATTTTGACTTGTCATAACAAAACCATTTACACAGCGTGTCGCGCTATTAACCGCTTGTCACACGGTTTTACGGCATAACACAATCCGCTTTAAGTTTTCGTGACCCGGAAAACCACGTGTTAACAAAATTCTGCTCTTTGTTTTATTGACAAACAAAATTACCATATTTATATCGCTGTTAGCAGCCTATTCAGCATTCACTATAAAAGATTTAGGCTTCATAAGTTTACTGTTCATAAATCAAACAAGTAAACAACATTATTTGATTCCCTGCCTGTAGCTACGAAGCGAAAATGTTTTGTTTTTTCGTAATATAATGATCTACATATTTATATATATGTAGCGGACCTATCTACTGAGATTTACACATTCGCAAAATATAGATGAATAGAAATATGCAATATTTTTTACAGAAAATATACATAATTAATACATTCTTATTTTATTTAATAAAAAAATAATCGTTATCAAATATTAAAATGATTGGTGTTTTCGCTTTGTTCACGTTGTCATCAAGTAATCTTACGATATTGTAAGAGGACAATAGAATCATATTTGAAAAGCAATTACATTATTTATCTCTTTGTATTTGAGTAATAATATAATGAATGCAAACTCTAATAACTTGAATTGATGTCATTCGAGATGGATAAAAATACAAAAAATATTTGTATTATAAACAGCACTGCTTAATTATTGTTTTACTTACGTAGTATTCTTTCTTAATATTTCTTTTTGTCTCCATTGTTTTTTTATCTAACGGTAAATAGCCTTACTGCCCGCCGAATGTTCAGCGGTAACCGTAGTCTTTATATATGAATAGCACTACGGACATCACGTTATCATGTCACACTCGTCATACCACTCGTATATTGTCATTCCAGAGGACTACGACGCAGACGACATTTTACAGTCTACTTCTGATAAATAATAGGTATATTTGAATCTTATATGACTTCAAAAGATATATGTATATTATAAACCTATATAACCTATACAAGGAAATATATTTCACAAAGTAATTAATTTTGTAATTTCGAAAGTTGTGAAATTTATGTTACGGCCTCGTCTTGTTTAAGAATACCTAAAGTGTATCAAAATAAAAACTAAAGTAGTTGAGCAGAGCACAAAGCATGTTCTATCGGGTAACAGAAGCCTGTCAAATCAAGGGCGAGTCATGTTTTCCGAGCATGGCTTTATAAAGTCTTGGCTGGAACTTTCCTAATTTATTTGAGTGACGTTCTATTATAGTTTATAAGGTCTAATATGATTTTTACTTAAATATAATTATAATATCTACCTCTTTTTATATACTGTCACACTAAAAAACAAATTCGAGAGAAAAGATCACTTCATAGTGCTGCTTACTTTTTTCAGTTATTACGTCTTAACATAATGAATTTATCGAATCACATACTAGTCATACTTTAGCTCAAATTTCATATATAAAGAATCATGAAAAAATGAATTCTGGAACTAATAAAAAAGTAATAAATATTTTTTTATTTGCGACACTATTTGAGCCATGATAAATAATAATAATGTTTAATTCGAATTATTATCTATAGTGTCAGTTATAATTTCTTAAATCTAATGTAAAGTAATAAATGTGAGGCGAGTAATCTTTAATTCCAGATTAGACTTACTTATCATCATCCTCGTCTTCATTGCTTCCCGACGCGGTATTGGTAGGTTTGTCGTCTTGTAGCGAGCCATCTCCTAACTTTTGTGTTTGGGCAACATTTTCAATAACCACTGCAGCAGTACCACTGGACACTGCCGAAGTAATTGCGGAAGATGTTTTTTTCGCTAGTTTCTGCTTCTTTGCTCTTTGTCGTATAGCCTAGAAAAAAATAAAACGCTAGACTGTGTCTTGCAGACCGCTTAAAGGTATCTGTAAGTATCCAATCGTGTTGTAAAGAATATGTACAAACATGCAGTTGTATTTCAAATGAATAAATGTAAATGTCAGAATTTCCTTGCGGTTCTTCCCTGTAATTATGCGACGGAAAACAAAGAAAAATCGAGTCGCGCGTACTGAATATTTCTTAGTCATAAAAATGTCAAACGTATATAATACCCATTAAACTACAGAACTATATTCTCCTTTTCTTACAAACCGTTAAAGACTGTGACAAGTACCTGCAATAGTTATACTGTATTTGTACGAAGTTTCATTTTTATGTAAAATGTTGATTGCAATGAAATGCAATTATTCTAGTGATGTGAAATGTTTCCTTAAAATTAAATGAATATTTCCTTAGAATTGCGGTAGTATTTTGTTATAGGTATATTAATTGCTTAGGAAGGAACCTGAGAAATATCAAATACCTGGATATATTTTTTTGTACATGACTTAAATATACTAAAATAAAAATAGAAAACTCTAACTATTTTCTGCTAAGATTTATAAATTACTCTGAGGCTTCACATGACATAAAGAAACTCATAAAGAAACGTGGCTTAAGAAAAATGTTTTTGGAAATCGCCGTGGAATTAGAAAAAGCCGGATTCCGGTTGAGCAATGCTGTGTAGTTTTCCTTTTATACAACTTTGATATATTACGTTAATCATTCTTTCTTATGAACACCTTACTGGGAATTATAGCATCGTATGTTCTATCAATACAATCAATATTATAGTTCTGGTAGAATATCAACTATTCTACCAAAATAAACTTGGTATGAAGTCGTCCGAAGTGACAGAGAAATTACAGGGTAAGGAGGCATGGCACTTTAAACCTTCGGGAAAGCAATGTATGAGAGACACCACGGCCTTCACATTATAGAGTTTGTGTGCTTCATGTATATAGGCGATGGTTGCCATTTACCATCAAATTGCCCGCAGTTAGCCATTTTGGTTAAATAAAAAAATGAAGATATTTGTGCTTACATCATTAAAAATTAGTTTTAAGTCAACCTCTAAGGCAATTAAGCATATATAAGCGCATAATAATGCTTACTTAATATCAAATCCTATTTCAGGGTTACCTTTATTAATTAACTATGTTTTCATGTAGATTTCTCTAACTATTACAGTAAGAAGATACTTCCATTAATACCAAAGTTTATGAGCCTCCTGAAATTCCCTAGGTTAGTAATTATTAACGGTAATGTATACCCACTTTAGGATTACACTGTTGAAATATTGAAATACAATGTTACATCGCTTATAACATATGAATACTGCAATAGAAAATGTAAATAAAAGTCATATAATAAAACTGACATTTTATGTTATTAATGGTGAACGCATTATTATCAATTTGAAATATCAGTTGCGTGCATATATAATAAATTTTATATTATATATAGTTGATATTTATTTAACTCCTATTAAATATGGCGACACCGCGGCATATTATATATAGTAATGAAAAAATGAAACTAAATATCAAAACAAAAATCCATTATGTAAATCCAACTCAAAAAAATGTTATAACGCACATTTCCACGCGATCGCTCCACGCTGTTACAGCAATATAAATACATTTGCTTTTTTAGTATATTCGCAGTGCCGTAGTTTGATATTTTATTTTATTATTACTTAACTAATTGCATCCTTCGGCGTTGTTTGAGTGAATTCAGGTAGAAAATACCACAAGTGTTAATTCAAGATATGATGTCTGGATTTTTCTTGCGATTTTTTCTATGTAAATTTGTTATTTCTCGGTACCGTGAAATGTTTGTGAAATCCATAATTAATGTTTTTTTCTACAACGGTCAGCTGTCTCTTGGGACAAGTCTCTTTGTAATACACAACTGTATAACTTCTATGAAAATCCATCTAAGAGTTGAAACTGTTGTTCCAAATCGAAGAATATAATTATAATATAATGTGCAGAAATATTAATATTATGTATTAGTATTATTATATTAGTTCTCAACTAGTCGGTTGTATATTTAATATTTTGTCTATTTAATTAATTTATAATAATTAATTAGTAATTAAAATATTAAAGTAACAACAAAACTATTTAGAAGAACAACATGTAAATTTCTTCCTTGCTCATTGTTCTTGTGATAGGACAGCTTTCCGAATGAGCGGTAGATGGAAAAAAAATATTCAAAGGTGAAAAGGTAATTTAAAAGGTGTTAAAGTACATAATTTTATTTGATTAAATGATTTTCTATTTTATTCTATTATATGTTAGATTATTAGTTAGTGCAATCTCTAAGATTTCAACTTTATCATGAAAGTTAGGGTCATTAAACAAATTTGAACCTTTGGAACTTAGCAACGCCTTTATCATCACGTGTCTATAAATGTAGGTTTATTATTTCAATCACTTACATCAAACCTTTTATTACGAGGCACGGTATAATGGTAGGTATACGATTTTTCCTTCCGTGGATAAATGGATCTTGAAAAGGAAATCGGTGAATCGAATTATTTGTTATTGCTTTCGTGGTCTGAATTCTTTCATAGCTTAAATCACAGAATAATTATAGCAGAATAATGCATATTTCATAATATTCTAACTAACTGCGTATTGTAATTATATTCCTAAAATGATAGGAAAAACAACATTTACGGTAGTTCTTGTTATATAGTAATAATTATTGATTATTAGATATTTAAGATTTCCATTTAAAGAATTTCCGTCGTATTTCAGAATGAATAAACTGCATTACTCCATCAAAGCTACATTTATTTCATTATGTATAACTGTAAAAAGTATTAAAACTTGCAGAATGTATGAAAGACTATATTAACAAATATAGTATTGTTTACAATTTTAGTAACATTAAAAGAATACGTACCTTAAAAATATTATAATATAGGAACATCATTATTATACAAGGTATGTAGAACGATCCCAGAGACGAATATATCACATAGTCTGTGTTATTAAACAGACATTGATTGGGACTTCTGTCTGGAGTGTTATTCAGGCCAAGCACAATTGGGGATCCTATTGCACAAGAGACCAGCCACGCCACCGCTATCATCAGCCATACACGCCCGCTGCTTTTGTGTTTTGCGTATTTAATGGGTTGCGTCACTGCAATGTATCTGTGAACAATACATTAAAAAATATTAAAAGCATAAAAATATGTGAAACCCAGAGATGTGAGAAATTAAAACGGATTCAAGGCCTTTTCTAAAGACTTATTATATTTACCTAGGTAGACTGTATAAAAAATTATATTGAATAGTGGGGTAAGGCAGTGCGATTACAGGAAAAGGGGCATACATCTTAGTCTTAAGGAATGGCAAGGTACGAGGTGGTATCACGGGCGTCACATTATAACGTGAGTATCGTAGTGCTGTTCATGTATGTACATGCAACACGGTTATCACTTGCGATGGCAAAATCAGGTGAGCCGTTAGATTTTTCGCTATTTTAATGACATATAAAAATACAACAGTCGCGAAATATAGATAATTAGAGCAGACCAAATTACTTCTTTATCATTTTTTTAGATGTTTGTTGTTGCGTTATGTAAAATTTTTATTGTCCTCACAATATCAATTTTAATAAAGATATATACTTTTACATAATGGTATATATTTTTGTAGTTAGAACAAGACATAATGTTATGCCGATTTTCCTAGTTTATAATGAACCAATAGGTATAGTATTAGACAAATAATAAAACCCTCAATACAGAGATAGTCGCAAAGAGCCAAAAGTCAATCTAATAAGCTGAACCACTTTCGCCATGAAACAAAGCTGAAATATGAAAATATTTTGACATCATGACGGTTTTTATGAACATTTTTGAAACTATTTTCCAGTTTACTAACTATTTTACTGTTATACTCTTTACGAGCTTAACTGCTTGTACGGGTTTGGTGTGCTCTAATCACTAAGACTAATTTACTTTTATTTAGTTAATCAATTAGTGCTATTTTCGTAGTATATATTCACCCGTTTTAACTTAAAAATGTAAAATACACGCAAAGAATTTGCTCGTTCTTCCGAGATAGCTTTTCTAATGAGTGGTAGATTTAAAAAAAATAAATATGACCATTCTAAAATGTTGAAATTGAAGTTTATTTGAATAAATATTTTTTCTATTCTGTTTTTTGAAAACTTGTTTAGTTTTATGAGTGTTATTAGGTACTGGTTTCGTCTTGTTACATAATCTGTGATTAACTCCCCCATTTCGTTATGTATATGTATGATATGACAATGTATTGAAACCGATACGATTAATACTATTAATAACATTAAATAGGTTTAAGTTTAATATAACAATGATTTTCAACAGCTAGATAGGACAATGTTAAAATTCGCTCAGGTATCGAGGTTAAAGTGTATTCCTAGATACTATTTAATTGTAAATTGTGTTTTAAAATGTGTACATAAAAAAAGTTTATCTACCGGCCTAGAGAGTACAATATACAAGAACAATATTCTAAAGATATTGGTATGTGATAGAAATTCTGTGGTCTTGACTATTTTAATAAAAATAACTCTGGCCAGTGGAGCGCGTATACAGAGGAAAGTGGCATTCTTTTATATCATTACAAAACAACTGGAATATTTTTATTTGAATTTCATTATAGGAAAATGTATTAATAGATTATTTATAGGTATAATATCAGTCAATGATATCTCTTACTTATGATTTATATACATACTGTATAGAGGTATTAAGATGATGTTGGTGATTAATAAAATACTTCATAAATGGTAAAATACAATGGCATAAATATGTGTTTTCATGTGGACAGGCTTTTTACACTGTCCACTTCGTTAATATTCATTTGTCAGTAGCTGAGCCAGCAACGACGTACCTGTATAACCTTTTTGTTTGTACACTGATTAGGATAAAACAACACTGAAGTTTAAGTGAAGCTTTATACTATAATACATATATTAGTGTTTAGTAATCACACTCAAACCGTTTAAGCAGTTCCTGTAAATAAACAAATAGACCAAGAGACGAAATTTTCAACAGTCATTGTTTTGGGTAATAATCGTTTTTCAACAATGAATTATATTTTTATTAAATGGCATTCCATACTATACCAGTGTGGAATGCTCAAAACCGTTTTAACTATAATCAATATACTATAACTACGAGTAGACTTAGATATCGGTGCATGGCGAGTGTTTTCGTACTATCAAATTATTAGTAACTTACCGCCAGATGGCGCTGCAGTACATCAACCTCTCATGTTCAACTAATCCCCTTGAAAAGACATTTTTTATCTAGTGTTGAAACTTATTGTATAATTTGTATATATTGGTATATACATAACGTACGATAACCGTTTATCATAAGCTTGTTTGCCACCATCGTAGTAACGTAAACCAGAGCACAAATTGAAATGGTAATAATAAATATTCATTAATTTAGATTCCCATGAGAAAAATACGTTTAAAATTCAACCGATATAATAAAAAAAATGATATGTAATTAGTTTTAATGAAAATTTCAGCGGCGAAAGCAATAATTTAGACAGAATAGATGCAATATGAGTTATATGAGATACAAATCAAAGCATTTGTCAAGTTTTATTAATAAAATATTAACTTACTACTTTTCAAGGTCATATTTATTAAATTTGAATTTTTAACTATGCGAGGTGTAGAACTGTAATGTTCTTATGATCACATTAGGACTACATAGACCAAGAGAAGCGTTCTTGTAGGAAACGACTTTTTTATATTAGTAATAGTTTTAAATAAAATATAGTTGCTTTTACATTTTACAATTATTGAAAAAACTTCATACCTGTCAACAGATATGGCGACCAGGTTGAATATGCTGGAAGTTGAGCAAGTGACATCCATCGCTATGTAACAGTCGCAGACGACGGCCGGTAGACCCCACACACCGTTGACCTATGGGTAGAAAACAGAGTAGTGGCAGTTTCAATCACCAATATATTAACAAACTGTATCTGTATCTACATATATACCATATGCTAATATTATAAAGAAGAAAGTATTATTATTTAAATACATGTTACTGATAAACATAAAAATATATCACTAATTAAAAAAAAAATATTAACTGTTAAATTATACCAGAATAGAAATATATATATACAGACAGAAATCACGACTATAATAATATTAATAATAACAAGTATGACAACAAGTTTATTTAATTATCCTAACACTTCATATTAAGCATATTGCTGGACTAGTCGTCATGTAACCATACCAGTTTTGTGTCGGAGAAGGCCTTGGGAGATATTAAAATAAAAAGAAGTCCAACTTTTTATACCAAATACTTTCTAGATAAGCAGATAAAGTCGTGCGTTTCTTTAATTATTTCTAAATTGTTTGTATTAAGAAATTACGTATACAGTGTGAAAGAAAGAAACGCTCTAGACCAATAAAGGTATACAAAGTATTGACATTTTTATGAATAAGAAGGCTTAGAAGGTAGATTGAAATGTTTCCACGCCCATTGAGTAAGAGATTAATTTAATAATAAAACGTTGCATTTGTATTCAAAGAAATGAACAATTTAATTATATTACCGTTGAGATTGTCAAAGAAATGTTTAGGAGAACGTTTAAATGAATTTTACGAAATATTATTCTAATTTAATTTATTACAGCTGATTTACAGCTGTAAATCTTAAAATTTTTACTCTGAAGAGAATTAATATCTTTATATCTTACTAGCTACTTCTCCCGGCTTCGCACGGGTGTACATATATTATACATATAAATCTTCCTCTTGTCACATCACTTCATCTATTAAAAAAACGCTTCAAAATCCGTTGCGTAGTTTTAAAGATTTAAGCATAAATAGGGACAGACAGACAGCGACAGCATTTATATATTTGATCAACGTTTATACATTTGATAAATAAGACAATGTATAAATTATAAAATGGGAAAATATATTTTGTTAAAAGTTTAAATTCGTTTTCTTATTATTTTTTTAATAGATGGTAATTGGTATACCCCCTACGCTTACGGTATGCGTTACTTAATGCTTTGCTAGTAATGGGGTTCTCCCTCTAGATTACTAACAATCCCTTTTACCGTCCGGACAGCAAGTAATTATTAAGCATACGATATAGGTATAAAATACTAGTCTCATCTAACTGACCTTACAACGCAAATCAATTGGGGATATGTATTTAAAAGTTTATTGAAGTTAGTATATACATTTTATTACTTAATAATACAGAAATACTAATTAAAAAAATAAACAATGGAGAATGGATGTATTTTTAAATATAAAAACGAATGACATTTCTTGTTAATAATAAAATAAATTTAGTGCACAAACTGATGTCAACATTCATAAGTACGTTTTGGGATTTAAAATCGAAGTTTGTCGAAAGTACTTGGGCGAAGCCAAATTGGCTCCGGTTATCTACAAGGCTGCAGCCTGCAGAGTGCTGATATTCAACCCAGTCCTCGCTACCTTAGTTACTCGTAGTACATAGAAATGATTATAATGTGCGCGGTGGACTAACTAACTTTATTTATTTGTAGTAATAATTTATCATTGCTCATGGTTTTTGTTCTGTTCCATGTAAAAACATATATACTATATAATCCTTATAAAGTTCAGATATACTATCATCAAATTTTTACTTACTGTTTAAAATTAAACAACTTGTTAACAACAACATTTGGATAACTAACACAACAAAATAATTTACCGATTGTACTTAGAATATTATGTAAAATGTAAATATCTTTAGAATTGTGGTTTTTTATTAAATATAAATTTACTACAATATGTAGACAAAAAGGTATAGGTATATAACCTTAGATTAAGAGTTCTATATAAAAGTTCTAAATTACATATCATTATAAAAGTTCATCTAGGACTCAGTTCAGTAGTTCGAAATAATATTGTTATAGGTGGCACAATATACTATGATAATCAAAAACATTTATTTGGGAGATTTTAAATCCTACAAATGTCAACATTTTTTATCACTTTTCCCACTTAAGTTACGCTAGCTACTTTAATTAGATATTCAGAGTAAAATCTAGTAATTAGATGGATATTATTCTCCAATTCCACTTTTCATATTTTTAATATTGTACAATAAACCATTCATAATTGCAGACCTGAGGGCATAGTTAATTGGTTATTATGACTTATTTCTCTATGAATATGCTGTAAGTTACAGTATACAATAATTATTATGTGCATCGTGAACAAGAAAGCCATTATAAACTCACTATGTTCACAAGGAAAGAGCTATAAGATTCATACCGCTCTTGCATACTTAAGCTACGTGTAGTGTAAAAGAGAAATTGTTTTCGAAAATGTTTAACCAGTTTGCATTATAAATTGTACATTTCCACTTAGATACAATTAATTACAATTGGTCCTTTACGTGGTGAAGTACAGTGACATTATAAAAGAGTTGTATTATGAAAATTATATTCGTTCATATTTAAAATGTACATTGTATGTTTATAAGGAATAAATTCAAAAACTGCGGAACTGGTTTCAAAAATTTCTAATATGTGAAATTTCTTTTGTGTCACACATTGCCTATTGTTTATGCTACATAAATATAATATCGGTAATTGAATTTGACAATGACCATTAAATGATATATAACAACTTAAATAATACTTTTTACATTAAATACCTATTATTAGACTAATATACATATATTTTAAGGTGTAAAATAGAAAAAATACAGTCAACAAACCATCGAAAATGTTACTAGAAAATCTAAAAGATAATAGAAGTTAAAGAACGCTGACATGAATTAAAACTTTATAAGTTATTTTATTTGCACACAATTACTTAAACATTTTATCTAATAATTACATTGAAACTTCGGATATAGTTGAAATGGTGGTCAATTAAATCAAACGCTTCGTTTTTACAAACACTAATGTTTGGCTACTTAGTATCTATATAAATTTTATCATGTAAATGCGTAGTCTCTTGATATTTTTTATACAATTTTATGGTGATTCATATATATGTAAACGTTTGCTGCGAATATTATTCGCAGCAAACGTTTCACGTAATTCGTTTTAATTCACTCAAGGAAATTGCGAATGGATCTTTATTTCGTGCAAATATTAGTAAATGGATGTTGGATGCTTTATTTACATTAACGAAATCATTTTCTAACCATAAAAATATGTATCGTTTAGCTATATATAGCATAGCATTGTACTATATTCAATTATAAATTTATTTTATGATAACAGTCTTCTATTAGTATAATCAATACTAACTTTATGAAGACGTACAGTTTGTGAGTTTGGATGTTCGGTGTAAGCTCCGGTTCTATTAACAGATTTTGAAAATTCTTTTAATTGCACTCCTTTTAAAGTATGCTGTATGCTATATATCATAATGCTACGATCGATAGGCGGGGAACAGTTGTAAAACGGGAAAAATGCGACGGAAACAAAGCTTCATTTATGGAACTAATGAAACCATGAAAATAATAAACCACGTCTTTATCTGTTCTATACTCGTTGTAATCAACTAATGAACAAGTAACAACAAATATTTTGGACAATAACTAAATAAATAAAATAATACAGTACAACAACCTGTAAGTTGTAAGTATATATTAACAACGGCTGTAGGGTCAATTACAGTATTTTTGAAACCGATGTTATTTATTTCTATCTCTTAATAAGTCTTCTAACTAAGTTTACTTAATTAAGTTAAAGCTTCGCCCCTGACGCTGTTCGTAATTAATCTAGGTTGTTCGGGCACAAAGATGAGTTCCTTCCGTGACTTTGGTCTCTAGACGACTGTTTTCACCACGTTGTATTCTCTTATATAAGCATAACGAATAGATATTTAGTGCTTGTACTAATTATAATTAATGTCGGTCGGCCTAATAAAGTCAGGGCTGTTTCAATATAGTATCGAAATATGTATAAAACGCATTTTCCTATTGCAGAAATGTAAAGCTGTTAAACATATTTTCATGAATCTAAGTACATCACAACTACCACAAATGAGTGGTAGAATAAAAAATACTAGATATTAATATGCTTATTAAGTTTACCTATTGATATATGAATAAATATATTTTTTTTTCTATTTCTGTATCACATGGAGAATTTTATGGTCTTTGCTATATTTTATTTGCATATATAATAATATTTTCTTTATTTCTCCTCACAAACTGGTTGTTATGTCTAATGTATATATATATTTACCTGCATTTTATAACAAGTCATAGCATTTGTGCAACATATTATATAGATATCGGACAATGTATATATAGATTGCTACAAAACTTAAAATAGAGTTCAAATCGCGTCATATTAAGTTGGGACTTTTCAATGCAGGTTCTTTGTGTACTCGACAGGACGAATTTGTAGCCGCCATGGGCCGATATTCTATAGACATTGTGGCAATAAATGAGACGTGGATTAGGGAGGGGAGGAGGCCCGTGCGCCGTTGGTACCAGATTATCGCTTGCGCCATGCCCCGCGACCCGACGCAGTGCGAGGAGGACGTGGTGGGGGGGTAGGATTTTATATACGAAATAACATAGGTGCCAGGGTTTGTCCCCACCCGGGTGATGGGAATGTTGAGCAGCTGTGGATTCGTTTTAAAATAAATACGGCCACAGTCATTATTGGCACTGCATACCGTCCACCATGGCAAGACATCAATCTTTTTCTGGATGCACTGACAGAGTCCATAACTGCATTTACTGGATTTGACCATTTGTTTCTGTTGGGAGATTTTAATATAAATTTGTTAAACAATGACAACAAAGTAAGGCTTTTTCAAAATTTTCTTCAGTGCACATCTCTTAATCAATATGTAAATGAACCAACACATTTCACAGACCACAGTGAAACATTGATTGACGTAATTTGTTCTGATACTCCTACAATTAAAAATGTGACAGTTAATTA